AAGCCTACTACAGAAAAGTATCAGGATACAAGGCAAGAGGTAGACCAAGAAAGACCTGGATCCCGGGTGTGAAGGATACCCTGAGAACATCAAACATCAAACTTGCCAGAGACACGGGTTCAGAGCAAATGTTAACGAATTACATGTTGACAGGAACCAGATTTTGATTCAAAACCAAATGTCGTGTCTTTGTTTGTTCCGAGTATACGATGTAATGGCGACTTTACATGGGCTACGGGTGTATCGGCACTGAGTCCTGCCTGCACTACATAGAAAGACAGAGAATACAATTCTTAGGCCACCTGTCACGTATGTCACCTGGCCAGCCAGCCTCGAGAGCCTACAACACCAAGCACTCAGGTTATAAAGGAAGAGGAAGGCCACATAAATGTGGATCGAGGGTGTCAAAGAAACCCTGAGAAAAGTCTCACAAAATATCACAACTGAAAGAGTTACGGAGTTGGCCTACCATAGAAAACTGCATCTCCCCTCGGCGCTTTACGGCAAAAGAAGATGAAAAAGTAAAAGTAAGTACTAGCGACTTGACTTACAGTTTACCAACTGGTGTATTTTTCGACTTGACTTACAATTTGCCAGCTGGTGTATTTTTCGACTTGACTTACAATTTGCCAACTGGTGTATTTTTCGACTTGACTTACAATTTGCCAACTGGTGTATTTTTCGACTGGACTTACTGTTTACACCTACTGGTGTACTTTTCGACTGTACTTACTGGCTTTCCTCTTGGGCACGACGGTGTCAGAGTCCAGAGGTTTGCTCTTGCCCACTTTGTTCTCGGCCAGCACCTGGAAGGTGTGCTTAGAGCCGGTGGTCAAGTCCTTGACCTTCAGTTTGGTGGCCTTGGACTCTGTCTGAGCGATGTCCACGAAGTCTCCATCGTCCACGGACATGCGTACTGTGTAGGAAGTGACGGGGGTGCCGCCATCTTCTTTTGGAGGAAGCCAGTCCAAGGTCAAGGATGTTTCTGTAATGTCCTCGAATCTGATTGGTCCAGTCGGAACAGATGGGGCAGCTGATTGGACAAATGGTATAAAGGCATTAGAATCACTCTTACCTTTCTTTGGCACGCACTTGTGAAGCAAGCGTTGCATAGGTTATATTAGCCATACACTTTGTGTATTGTGAAAAACGTGTAATGTTAAGTTGTTAAATGCCAAAAGTGCATTGAATCAAACAAAGTGAGGTTAGTCACCAGTAGTCGTGTAGGTTCTGTTAATGATCCCCAACTTTAGTGCACTTTATTGATCATTTTTAGAATAATCTTTCCTATCCATGAAAACATAATATTGTCACGAACTGTGACTTACTCTTTCTACTACATATTATCACTTGTTGAATTAGTATTTATAAACATCCCAAGAACATTTTATTTTTAGATTTGTAAACGAAACTCGAAACTAGTCGACTCAAGAATTTATTTTATGTATATCTATCAATGGAGTTTGATTTTTAAAAACCCATTGATTTTCAGTGACGTTACATCAGGATCACCCTATGCCCTCCCGTATGTCAGTGATGAGAACAAAACTCCTGTAATAGTTTTGCTTTTTGCACTACCCACAAATGCAGCAATGAATCAAAGATGGCGTCCCTCCCTGCCTCAATGATAATGATGCTGCCAAGAATTACCAAAAGTATAGCCTACGCCGCGGTCAGGGTGAGGTGCGCGACAGTGCTAAGAAATATTCAGATAGCTAGAGACATGCGTTACACGTGCATTATCACTAAGTGTTAGTGGGAGTGCAACATATGTGTTAAACATCTCAAACATCGCCTTGAATACCGGAGACAATCTCATTTTAAAGGCGCAAGCAACCCCAGCACTGCATGTGGTGCAAAGTGTTTCCAACTGGCGACACAACAGTTCGCAACAGGACAGACAAGCAATAGTTGATATAAAATTGTACTCTGGAGTTTCGCATACAGAAAAGGGAAGAAACTGCCCCAGGACTGGTGGGTGGCCAAGTGCATTCAGGAGAAATGACAAAACAAAAGAAAAAAGTGATAAATACAATACTTTTCTCAGGTTTTCTAGCGAATTTAAATAACCAGCGAGTGGATAAACGTTGAAAGGGTTTACGACCAGTTAAGGGAAGAAAGCAGAACTGAGGCGTTTGGATAAAAGAAGTATAGATCAGCGACATCCGCACGGAAGGTCAACCGAGGAGAAGGAAACAAGTTGGCAAAACGACAGGGCGATTACGACAGGAAGAGCTTTGGGGTGTTAGCTCACTGGCAACAGACTTCAGGTTTTCAGAGCTGGGAACATTGGTATCTATTGTGCATCATTCGACATGAAAGAAGGGATCATACATGGTCTGAGCTAAATTAACAATCTTCGTAATTTCAAAGGGATGGGACTCAGAGAAGTTGACTTGGGGTGGGACAGGAGCGGATGGGTAGGAGGGGGTCGGCGGTTGGGGAGCTGAGGAACAAATGAAGGGGTAGGAAGGTAGAAAGGACGGATCTAGGGGTAGGAAGGTAGATAGGACATATCTAGGGTAGGAAGGTAGATAGGACGGATCTAGGGGTAGGAAG